GGGTTCCATCAAAGCTTTTGCAGTTTTGCACTGGGAATTGACTTTGTTGTACTACCATTGCCTTCAGATGACTTCAGAAGAGCACTAAGGAAGGCCTGATCACCATAGCTTTGAAGAAAACCCTAAGTATTACTCCGTGACTTTACCTGGAAGCCTCTACAAAGGCCCAAGAAAGTGCCACCGATTTCTACAAAAACCTGCCAAGCTAATTTCTGTGGAGATATGCAGGGAGGACAGAGTGATATGCTTAGAGATTCTAAGAGTTGGTCTTTACTGTCTCCTGTGCCTGAAATGCTGTGCCATTCAGCATGCTCTCATACAATTCAAATAGCCAAAAATTCCAACAAAGCACAATAGTAATTAAAGTGGTCAGCCTGGAGATAAAGCTTCCACTGGTATGGATGGTAGGTAAACTCTGAGTTTAGTAACGAATAATTTCAATTACTATGTCCCTTAAATTGCATCTATATGCAAACATGTTTACATGCTCTCACACACACACGCATATACACACATACTCAATCAGGCTAGCAATTCATTCGAGTTTCTTCCTTCCTCTTAAAAAAAATAATCCAATCATCTCTAGAATGCATATGCCTGAAGTTTTTACCACAAAGCAGGTACAACTAGAAGGAGGTAGTTTTGTTTTGCTTTACTGTAGAATGTCAGGAGATTACAGATTCCACAGCCCAGCCACAGGACATTACACAGAGTTACTTCAAAGGTTTCTCTGTTTCCATTGTGTAAGCAAGCATCTTAAAACCCTTGACTGGCAATGAAATGTTTACTGACCAAAGTATGAACTTTACTTGTAAAGATTCTGTGAAGTATTTTTATATTGTCTAGCTCAAGAAAATGGATTCCTTGAGGTACAATAGCCTGTCTTGAATGGGAAAAAATAGATTAAGCTTGATCTGCATGTTGCAATATTTATTTAAATTAGGAAGCTGTCTCTTTCAAGATGCTTACGGTAGAGATAAACTCATTCCTGCATGACTTATTCCTGCTATGATATCTCAGCAAAACAATGGGACAGCCATTTTGCACAAACAAACAGAAAGCATACAACATGCTCATTCTAAGCAGATTCCATTGTATGTCTCAGAGAAAAGGGATGTTTCTGTAGAGCTAGATGCTGCCCCTCTGTTTTAAGAAGGGCTTGACAGTCCTCCTGAAAGTTTATGGGCTGTCCATAGTTTGGGAGGTCAACAACTTGTTATGGACAGAGTTGGCAAAGGCAGATTTGTGTGTTTGAACAACTTTGATCCAGGCCTACCTTCTGTTTGGGGGACAGGTAAAGAAAGGGTTCTTGAAGCACCAAACAGTAACAGTAGCTACACTTACAGAACAGACAAGACAATAAGTTTGAATTGTTTCGTAGAAATATAATACATAGTGGTTTGGTTTTCTTTGACATATCTGTGCCAAAACTTGAAACTGCTGTGTAGCATAAGTCCTCAAAAACCTGTTTTCCATCTCCATTCTAGATATTAGAATGATTAAAAGTGTGTCATTAGTATAATAATTATGTTGTAGTTGCACTAATATCCCTTATGTACTACTTGACATGCCCACAGATACTTTGTGGTGAGACACCTATAATTTGCCATATTGAGTGGAAAACATAGTTATAAGGCTCATCCCATTCTCCCATTAGATATATTAGCTGTGTACCGTTGACACTAAATAAATATATTTTAATTGTATTAGTCCTGTTATATTCCAGAAAATAAACAAATCTACATTCTCTGACCAACATGGGTATCTTTCCATGAATATGTGAATTAAGTTTTTAAAGTATTAGTCTATGTAATAATTGTACGTTTTTTTCAGATTTAAAAATCTTAGCAATTCCACCCCCATGAACTACACTTCAGTATAAACTTGAAGCATGATTGTATAAAATGGATTACGATTTTGATCATTTGAATTCAGTTTCTGGAGAGTCCTAGAAGCAGCCTCACTCTTCCTGACCCTAAGGGGATTATGAAATACCTGGAGCACAAGCCATCTTGAATGTCTTCATATGATATAGGCTAAATGGTGCCTTGGAACATCTGTTCCTGGAGCTCCTCCAGCGGAGATTTCTTTCTATAATAGAAAAGCTTTGTGAAACAGTCTTTGGGAACCAGCTATCTGATGTGATCTCCTCACAGAAGGAGGAGAAATACCTCAGCCACTTTGGCCTTGCAAATCAGATGGGACATTAGTACTTATTAAGCAATAACCACATTTGAGAAAGGCAACTGGAAAAATGGCCTTTCCTCACAATGATTCATTTTGTCATGTAAAATAAGATTTATTGGATAGGTTATTTCAAGACAGGTAAGTTGCCTGCCCCTTTTAAAAATGAGATGTGGAAAAAATGGGAAAGATTATTACCGTTTTTAATGACTTGGATGAAATAGTTAAGGGTAGAGCACCTTTCAAGTGGTAAGAGAACTTTTTAAAGAAATAGATTCAATCAGGGAGACTCAGTTCATTTACTGCTAAACTAAACAGGACTTCTTTTATGGTTGAAAGGGAATTTTAGGGATTTGTCTTGTTGCAAATGATTATTTACTGAGGTGAGAATCTAAAAGTCTGTCTCCAAAAGTCTTTGGTTCTCTTTAGTTGGTATTTTGAGATTTGTAAGAGTGTTGCTTTAGGATGCTTTGTATATTTAATCAAAGACTAGAAGTAGAAGTTTCATAAGAGCTTAATTGCCTTTGAAGTATTACACTACATTTATTTTCTTTGGGGGGGGGTCTGTGATCCTAAAATCCCATGAAACCTTGTGAGAATTCAGTTGGATTTTGGTTCATGTTTACTGTGGGTTAAGGCCAATGGGAGACAGATAATGGGGCCATGGAGCAGGTCTCACAAGCTGCTTTCAGTGTCTTAGTCAGATTTAAGAGATCAGAAATGCTGCATCTGTTTTAGTTCAAAATGCAATCTCAAATAACGTCTCAGATATCTAATTGTATTTCTCCTGACCTCTTCCACTAAAAAAACCCCTCTTAATAAAGTCAAAACCAAGTAAAGCCTTCACGATTCGAGAATCAAAGAAAAGTAAGTCTGCTGTATTATCTTCATAACTTACAACTTGTAACTCCATTTCACAATTGTACTGTGCTTTAAAAGCAATTATGTTAGTACTTCTTATAGTGTAAAAACACAGAAATATATTTTCCTTATACAACTAAATAAGCCTCTTTATACTTTTCTAAAATCCTACTTTTGCTTTGTACTGCATTCTGTTTTCTTTTTCTTTTGTTACTTTTTTCCTTTTGCTTCTTTTTATTTAGGGACCTAAACATTCTAGTCTATGATTAATTCACAGAAGAATTACCTATCATTAATAAATTCTACTTCCTGACAACAACTTACTGTGTACAGAAGAAATGCCCATAAATCAATAGGGTTTTTTTTATTATTGATTTGGGTGACTTCACTGTGTAGCAGCAGGGCATTAGCAAGAGTACTAAGTTCCATAACATATCAGTAACAAAACAAAAACAAAACCCAAGTACACCAAACTTGTAAACAACATGTTTATACTCTTAGTTTATTTGTGATATAATTTTTGATAGTGTAGATTCATTCTTTGCTGCCTAGCTCCCGAATTATTTTAAGATTCTGTGTTTCAGGTTCTAAGATATTCACTTCTGTGAACTAGCTTTTGTCACTATAGTTAAATTTTATATATCTTTTCCTTCTGTTTGTAGACTGCAAATCAGAAGGATGTGGGGGGGGAATCTTGTCTCTCTATAACTCTGCTAGAATTTTTTTAACCTTGACTATATTATTTATTTATGAATTTTATATAAAAGTGGTGAGTAATAAAACTTACAGCTGTAACAAGGCACACCATTGTCTAAATTAATAAAGAAGTTATAAGCCTTCTTCTAGATCTTACCTAGGATAATTCTGAAACAAAAGTCATACAACTTTCATACCTGGCTCCTAAGAGGAATCCGACTGAAGAGTGCTGAAACATTTTCTTATATTTTTATTGGTTAGAAAGGTGAATCTACCCAACCAAAAACGTGTTCCCTGGAAATGGGAACAAAATACTTTTTTAGATAGCTCATTAATTTTTTCATGAATGATCATTTTTATGGCATTACATTATGATTTGATTGCTACAGGGATTCTCAGGGGGCAATCCTAAATGCACTTACTTGGGATGAAGTCCCATTGTGTTAGATGGGACTTCTGAGTAAACTTGCATAGGAGCCGCATTATAAACAAACAGAAACTAATGTTGACTGGTTGTTTCAACAGTCTGAAGTACTTGAACAATAAAAAAGACGTAACTTAATAGTAATGGCAATATATTAGTTGGAAGATGAGTGTTACTTAATTTAACATACAGTGTACATACAGAAAGAAAAAATTTAATGGGGTGTCACTGTTAATCTGCCCGTCTCCATAGTTTTAATAAAGTCAACTAAAGTACACAGCATCCAAGTCTCAAAGAACCAAAGTATATACCATTTGTTGCCTGTCTGAAAGAAGGTTAAGTTCAGGTTTTCAAAAGGGAAGAGGTTCAGACTGCATTGCCAAGAGCACTTGCAAATATGTGGCCACATTCAAATGAGCAGCAACAACTGTGATACAGACAAGTACAGCAAACACACATGTAAATGGCTGGTACAGACGTGTGCACACATAACCATTTGCTTCCACATGTATTCCGCTGAGCCTCGGTAACTGCAAGCATCAATTCAGCAATACATTTCTGCAGGCATTTTTGGCATGCAGCTCTCTATAGCCTACACATTTTGAAAACTGGACTATTTGCTGTTTCAAGGGCTGTCTGGAAGGCAATACTTCTCCAAATAATTGAAAAGAGAATACTGTGAGAGAAGTGACCAGCGTGGGGCACAGAGATTTAGCACAATGACTTCTGTTAGGCTTTATGAAAGTAGTATAGCTAAATCCCATCATACCACACTGGAAGATTAACTCAAAATGCACACAGTGTTTATTTTTTTACTAATATTTTGTTAATTTACCGCTTTCTTCTTCCTCCTCCTCCTCCTCCTCTTCCTCCTCTTCCACCTCATCATTTTCATCTTCATCATCATCTTCTTCTTCTTCCTCCTCCTCCTCCTCTTCGACCTCCTCCTCTTCCCTATCTTCTACTTCCTCCTCCTCCTCTTCTTCCTCATCACCTTGTTCCTCATTATCATCAGAATACTCCTCCTCTTCCTCCTCCTCCTCTTCCTTTTCATCCATTTCCTCAGTCCCATCTGTTTCATAACATTCATCTACGGAAGAGTTATCAGCTTTAACCACATAAGGTTTTCTTTTAGGAGCAGGTTCTTGAGGTTGTTTCTCTTGTGTTTTTCTTTTTTTTGCCAAAGGACAGCCGTAAACACTGTTGGAGAAAATAAATATACATTGTATTACTTACAAGATCACATATGAACAGAAAATTAGAAACAATAGTGTGTCTTTACATTGCTATAATGGGCTGGATTGTGCCAATCATTTGTGTGTATGTGCACGCATGCACGCACACACACACACTAGGAGCAATATTCAACAACTACTCCCTTCTATGGCAGACCTCATGCTACTCCATCAGAAAACCTTCAATTAGCGGACATTTTCAGTGGGATACAAACTAACATGCTTCCATAAAAGAAAACCTGTTCTCCAAACAAAATACTTGTCTTTAAACAGGACAACTAGAGGAAGGCTTAAAAGCATTTGTTGTCATTGGAACTTGGAAATGCTATATTCAAAAGAAATTATTGAAATATGTAATCTTCTGATTTACTGCCCTTTTGATTGGAATTAAGGACAAAATTCTCACAGAGGGCACCCACAGTGCTTTTACAGTATCCTCAAATCATGGACTGATGTTTCAGCAGGTATGCCCTCAAAATTGGTAATGAAGTATATATAATTGTAGTATGTTAAGTCAGCGATAGTGATTTACACATAGAATCAGTGACTCAAAGCAAAAAAATTAGCAAGTGAACCATACAGCTGAAAAAAATGTAGTCAGGCACATTTCCTTTTGCATAAAGTTAGTGATATTATCAGCCATGACACCTGACCAAACCAAGACACTGAAGTATATATGAATTCCAGAAGCCTTTCAGGGGGTTATTTTGTGCTTGAGGAGGAGACAAGTGAAAGGAAAACATGGTTGCACTTACCTGTAACTTACGTTGCAAAACCAGAAATACTTAATTGGCTAGCCATGCCTTGGGGTTATGGAAGAAGCAAAAGACCCTCAAGACTTGTTCAAAAGTGACAAAATAATGTGAAAAGGGGCTAAAGTATTTCATTGATGTAGTGGTTAAGTGTGTGGACTTTAATCTGGGAGAACTGGGTTTGATTCTCCAATTCTCCACTTGCAGCTGGTGGATGACCTTGGGCAAGCCATAGTTCTGTCAGAGCTGTTCTCTCAAGGACAGTTCTGGAAAGAGCTCTCTCAGCTCCGCCTATCTCACAGGGTGTCTGTTGTGGGGAGGGGAAGGGAAAGGAGTTCGTAAACTGCTCTGCGACTCCAAGTCAAGGGTGGGGTATAAATCTAATATCTTCTCTTCTTCCTGATACGTAACCTATGTACTCACAAGCTACAGCATCCATATTTGTACTGCTATTTCTGTACAGGAAAGAAATGTGTGTTGTCCAGATATTTACAAGATTTCAAAGAAAAGCAGCTGTGTAAATAGTTAGGGTTTGTTATCTCTCTGACAGTTTAAAATTGAAGATCTGAATCTTTGGTGTTCCTTGGGCAAAATAATGCATTCTATAGGCCATTCAGAATTAGGAAAAAACCCACTATTATACAGTTAATTACCTGCATTAAATCTCAGCATACATTATTCATCGTACCATACCTTATAGTTTAAAGGTTAGAATCTGAGCAGAATATACACAGGATATTATCTCAGCTCATAATCTCATTGCAAAGAACAGAAACATAACTACAGATACACTAGTTCTTTGGACCAATGTTTCAGGTTAGCAGAGCAAGGACAAAATCTACAATTGGATGGCATGTTTTTGTATCTTCCTATCAATGATTCAGATGGTAGTATGTTAAATCTAGCCAGTGTGAATGTGTAGCGATATCTTGGAACAGTTAATGTTGATAGATAACACGCATACTGATGTAGGATCTTTGGAACAATATTCATACAGATTTTTTCCCCCACATCTGCTTTTTCCACATATTCTTCTATGAAAAAGGAACCTCAACTATGTCTACCCTTAAGCAGTGGTTGTGTTCAGACTGGCAGTTTGGCCAGATATAAGCACATCTTACAAACGGATTAAATGGGCACGATCACCGGGCATACTCACCCCATCAGAGAACTACTTGGAGCTGGGTTAAAAAGCCACCACCTCCAAAGTGGTGTTTTTGTTTCCCCGCGCATTCATTGTGCATGGCCAGATGTCTGAACACGAGGGAGCGAACACAGAACGGATTTGGTAGTGTGAACCTGCGGATCCATTCTGCTGCTAAGGAGGCAGTTTTTAAAAAGAATTGCCTATGTGTACATGCATGCGCATGCGCACTACGCACACACATGGTTTTTGGAGTTTCTTTTGCAGTTTGCTCTGTGGCTGAGGAACCACAATAATGTGGATGTATTACCACGGGATGTCTCCATGGGTAACCCACAGCAGGGTGTGCTGTGTGGCTGATATATCCCACTACACTTTAACCCGGTTCAATTAGAGGCGGCACCATATTGTGCCAAGCCGTCAGTGTGATCACAGCCAGTCACAACCCCAAATCATCTGGTAAAAATATCTAGTATAGGAAAATTGTGTCACTTACTGTGGATTTCCATTTTTGGTGGTTCTTGGGTGGGGCAGTCTAACACTGCTGGGAAAACACCCCCCAGCAGGCACTGGCATAGTCCTTTGGCTCCTATGACCCCAAAGGGATGGGTTTCCCTTCTGATCTCCAGATCATAACCTGGAAAACCACTAATGCTAGAAATTTGAAACTTTAAAATATATAAGCTAGTCTTAAGTTGCCCAAACCCAAGACCCCCCAGCAGGCACTGGCATAGTCCTTTGGCTCCTATGACCCCAAAGGGATGGGTTTCCCTTCTGATATCCAGATCATAACCTGGAAAACCACTAATGCTAGAAATTTGAAACTTTAGAATATATAAGCTAGTCTTAAGTTGCCCAATTGGGTAAAGGAAGAAATGGATGAATGAAGAAATAAGAGAGATAGCAGACTCAAATGGCTTAAACCAGGGCTCTTTTTGCAGCAGGAACTCCTTTGCATATTAGGCGACCCCCCCCTAATGTAGCCAGTCCTCCAAGAGCTTACAGTAGCCCCTGTAAGAAGAGCTCTGTAAGCTCTTGGAGGATTGGCTACATTAGGGGTGTGTCGCCTACTATGCAAAGGAGTTCCTGCTATGATACATGCAGGGTATCCTGAAGAAGCCATCTCAAGTTCTTGTGCCCGAATTCCATCAGAGAACACACTCAGCTTGTAACAGGATAGAACAGGAAAGAATACTTTTCTCTGGTATTTCAGGGGTAGGGCAGTTTGATGCTGCTGGGATATATAAAAGCTGTGCCAACACCGGACTGGAAGAAAATTTTATCCAATATGCAGTCACCCTTTGGAGAACTTTCCTACCAAAGGCAGTATCAGCTGATCAAAGGGATCTATCTGATATTGCTTTGTAAAAGAGCAAACTGATTTTCGCATGGCTACTTGACATACTGAATCCCTTATACATTATATAATGTAATACCCCCCACCAACAAAACTGAAGGCATAGTAATTCTCTCTGGGAAATCCTGCCCCTTACAGCTGATATGTAGTGCTGTGATATGCAGAGAGTAAGACATGAACCATTAAGAAGGAACCCTTAAAAGATACAAAAAGTATCTATGTCTTTGGTTACTCATTAGGCTAATTAGCTGCTAGGGAGCCACAGGTGATTCATTGATATGCCACCTCTGGCTTTTCTCAGCACTATTCCCCAATGTGACACCTGCCTCATGTTTCAATTAACTGGACAAGACCCTTGCCCAGTGAGCCTTTTGGTTGGCAGTTGCTTCCCACTTTTTTTCTTTTAAAAAAATCTCTTTTATTGAATTACATATAATTATACATGTATACAATTAACTGACCATATAAACCAGAACATAAATTGAGATGAAAGAAAAGAAAAACAGAAGAGCAACAACAGGGGTTTGCCCTTTAAACAAGAATCAATCTCATATCTTACAAAGCGTCTTGGATTATTTTTGTACCAGTATACAGTAAATGAAGGCCATAGTTGTGTAAACTGGCTTCGAGAAAATCTATTTCCTTCCCCAAATATATTATAAGCAGGAAATTTTGCCATGAGCATTGTAAACCAAACTTTCTTAAGCCTTTCTTCTTTGTATGGTGCCATGCCTGTGCAATAAGCAACCGAGATGCTCTGAAAAAGTATCCAGCTAAAAGCTTTTTTCTTTGTATTCTGTGTTACGATATTTAATAAATCTAATTTTGGGTTAGGTGCAAAGATTTTATTTACCACTATAAACACTTTGTCCCCAAATTTTCTTATGACTTGACAATACCATCAGACATTTACTATTTATTTATTTACTTAAATTTTTAGCCTGCCCTTTCCTGTACCGCAGGGCTCAGGGCGGGTTACAACAGTAAGTATATACAATAGATTTAAAACATCAACAAATGTACCAGAATATTTTTTACATCTCCAGCCTTTACCAAAAACTGAGGGAGAAATTTTCCTTAACCCGTGTGGTGTCATATGCCACTGATACATAACTTTGATAAAGTTTTCTCTGCCACATTTGTAGACATTTTTTTTATATTTTTAAAATCATTGATCCATAGACTCTCTGGTATTTGAATTAACAAGTCACCGTCCCATTTATCTTTGTAGACACTGCTTTAGAGTTCTAACCCACTAATATTGCCTAAATGGAAGCTACTAATTTTTCTGAATACCTGAATATATTAATATTAATTAAAATGTAGGCAGTTGTTTCCCACTTGGAATCAGCTGCTGCTGGAAGAACAGATAAGCTGCAAGCCTTCCTGAGGTCCAGGTATCATGCCAGGAATGGAAGAAATGTGACTTTTTGGGTTGATGAGAATGTGGCTCTCCATGAGCCATGAAGTGAGCACCAGTGTTCTAGACATATGAAAAATGTGGAAACTATATCTAAACAGTGGAATTCTTTTTCTCAGGTGGGGTAGATTAGGACAAAACAATTTCCTCAGTTCTGCAGAGCAGAAAGTTACTTTTAGGAACTAAAGTGTAATCTGTCTGTAGGGTCATTTTATCATTTGAGGAAATGCAGAATTTTATTTTTATATGTTGGAAGGGCACTGAGTCCAGATGGATCATGCTGGTTTTGGTT